TGGCGTGCGTGTTTCGCCACGCGCACCCCGCCCCGCAGCGCGGGTATAAAAGGAGAGCGCGTGCAAACGCACATCAGCTTTTCGCTTCGGAGCCGTCCCTGTTAAGACGAATCTCCGCGAGTGTTTGCAGAAAGAAACAGCTGGCGTTGGTGTCACGGCATGTCAGCGGAGGTTGCCATCCAGGGCTGCTAGAAACCTCGGCGTGCTGCAGCTTCCATTCTGCGGTCTCGCCGCGACCTCCCCTGGGCGCTTCAGCGCTCTCTAAAAGAGTGTTTCCTTTCAAAAAAAGAGCAAATTCTAAAAGAGCTTCACGTTCCGGGCTGCTCTGTTTAGGGTGCGAGTGTGCTCATTATACCACGGTATCAGACTGTTTTCCTTAATCTTCCTTAAGTGTAAAGGAGCAACCGTATCTACAATGCTAGAAAAGAGAGAGTTCATAGTTTTAGTTAAATAATCAAGTTGTTCTGAGGTATTGGATATGCTGAGGAATTGATATAAATCAGGAAGATTACTTACAAAGCAGTATTTTGTGGTAGAAGTGATGGTTCTACCATACTTGTAACAAGGAGTAGAATTTACAGTTTAAGCTATATGAAGTTTGCACAAGACTAGATAATGATCTGAGATATCATATCGCTTGGCTGCATAATTTCAACACCATTAACATCAATTCCATGTGACAGTATTAAATCTAGAGTATGATTTCGACAATGAGTAGGTCCTGACACGTGTTGTCTAACCCCAATAGAGTTCAGAATGTCTATGAATGCTGATCCCAATGCATTTTTTTAATTATCAATATGGATATTAAAATCACCAACAATTAATCTGCAGCCAGCACTAACTCTTAAGCAAATTCTTTAATAAAGTCTGTATGGTGCCCTGGTGGTCTGTATACAGTAGCCAGTACAAACATCACAGGGGATTTATCATTAACACTTGTTTCTCTGGATAATGTTATTGCCAGGGAGTCACCACAATCACCTCAGTCTCCACCAACTACACTCTACACTTGTCTGGTCTCAAACATTGTATGCTTGACTTACCTGTCCCTTACCTGTGTTTACTTACCTGCCAGTTGTTCCAACGATCTGCTCCTCAATCTCCACCGTTCCTGTGCTCCACCGTTTCCCCGCTCCATCGCTCCCTCGGATTACCTGGAAAGGAAAAGGATGTTATCACTCAGATAAGACCCAAGAGATCCTTTCCCATTCCCCGCTCACTTACCTGGATTCTCCTCATTCTGTGTTCAATAAACCTGATGTTTGTATTTCACCTACCTCTGTGTCCCGTGATTATATGCTGACAGAAGACCAGACCTGGACCGAAGACCGGAGTTGGCATTCCCGAGCCCCGCGGCTGTGGACCCCTTCAAAGAGCTGGTCAGCGCTCTTCGAGCAGCTCTCTCTCCGGTCACACACCCTCCGTCTGCCTCTGCCAGTCCCATGGCCATCCCTACCACCTATTCGGGTGAGGCGGTTGAATGTAGCGGTTTTCTACTTCAAGTTTCTCTCTATATTGAGATGCAATCCTATAAGTTTTCCAATGAACATTCTAAAGTGGCCTTTCTGATCTCCCTGCTAACCAGACGGGCTTTGCTCTGGGCGCGAGCTATCTGGAACTCGCAGAGCACACTAATTAACTCGTTCAAGGCTTTCTCTAGCCATTTCATGGAGGTTTTCGGCCTATCCACCAGCTCGCTCTCCATAGCCGACCAACTCATCCGCCTCCGACAATGAGGTTACTCGGCTAGTGATTATACTCTGCAGTTCCGGATTCTGGCGGCCTCTTGTGGATGGAACGAGACGGCGCTACTCACTGCTTACCGACAAGGTTTGGATCCGCAGATCAGAGCACAGATGGTGATATATGATGACAATGTCGGCCTGGTCAGGCAGAAGGCCGTAAAGATCTCCCAACGTCTCACGGCTTGTCAGCCCAACAAAACCGCTCATTCTCCGACCTCACCAGCTGCCGGTCCTCCAGTACCAGAACCGACATCTAGCCTCGGGGTTGTGTCTATAATGTGGAATCCCGGGGCACTTCATTAAGACGTGCCCCTCTCGTCCCCCACGCCCAGCAGTGAGTACTCTCCAATTAGAGCCTGTTATATCTACCCTGCCACTGTTAACCGTACAACTACTCACCCCACATCATTCCGTTTCAGTGTCAGCCCTCGTGGACTCGGGGTCCTCAGGCAATTTCATCTCACACGCCCTCCTAAGACAGCTCAACTTACCCTGTCTGAGACAGGCTCAAGAGCTTAAGATCGAGACCATACAAGGAAAGCCGCTCGGGCGTGGGTACATCAAATTCCGTTCTCCGCCGATCACTCTGCAAGTGGGCTGTCTACATCAGGAAACAATCTCCTTTCTGGTACTGGAGGGTCCCACCGTGGATATCGTCCTGGGAAGCCCAACATTCACCCGAAGTCAGATGGGATTCCAGCGAGATCCTCCGATGGAGTGAGGCTTGTATCCAAAACTGTCTCTCAACGTCCCGGCGCCCCGATTTAAGAACCCCAGTCTCCACATTCCCTCCACCCTAGTGGAGAGCCCCGAACCTCTCGAGGTGCCGATGATCCCATCTGACTATGCGGCGTTCCAGGATGTCTTCATCAAACAGGCAGCCACGAAGTTACCACCGCACCGGCCATGGGACTGTGCCATTGACCTGCTGCCTGGAGCTAAACTCCCTAAAGGTCCCTGTCCATCCCGGAGCGCAAGGCAATGGAGGAGTACATCAAGGAGGCTCTCCAACAACAGTTCATCCACCCTTCCACCTCACCGACGGCCTCAAGCTTCTTCTTTGTGGGCAAGAAGGATGGAGGCTTGCGGCCATGCATCGACTACCGGACCCTCAATGAACACACTGTCAAGCTCCCCTATCCTCTTCCCCTGGTCCCAGCCACCCTCGAGGAACTCCATGGGGCTCGCATCTTCTCGAAGCTGGACCTGCGTAGCGCCTACAACCTTGTTCGTATCCGGGAGGGCGACGAGTGGAAGACGGCATTCATCACTCCCTCAGGCCACTATACATATCAGGTCATGCCATATGGCCTCTCCAACTCACCGTCCGTCTTCCAGGGATTTATGAACAAGGTGTTCCGGGTGTTCCTCCACAAATTTGTCATACTAGATGAGCCCCAGAGACAGATCCCCAGTGAAGACCTTGTCTCCTAGACGGCCACCGGGACAATACCACAGGAACCAGTTGAGCCCTCTGCACAATGTGACTTTGCTGCAGCCTTCAACTCACCGTCCGTCTTCCAGGGATTTATGAACAAGGTGTTCCGGGTGTTCCTCCACAAATTTGTCATAGTGTACATCGACGACATCCTGATTTACTCCCGGAACCTGGCCGAACATTGCCACCACATCACGCAGGTCCTACACCAACTCAGGAAGCACCATCTCTACCTGAAGCTCAAGAAGTGTGAGTTCCACCTCCCCACGGTTCAATTCCTCGGCTACATCCTCAGTGCAGATGGCATTCAGATGGACCAGGGGAAGGTCCGATCCATCTGTGACTAGCCCCAACCACAGTCTGTTAAGGAAATCCAACGATTCCTCGGCTTGGAGAGACACATTCTGTCAGTTTAAGTCTAGATTAAAGACCCATCTCTTTAACCTGGCTTACACATAACACACTAACACATTTCTAATATTCAAATCCGTTAAAGGATTTTTAGGCTGCAATAATTAGGTCAAACGGAACCGGGAACACTTCCCATAACACTCGATGTACTTGCTACATCGTTAGAAGAATGGCATCTACGCTAATATCAGTCTGTTTCTTTCTTATTCCGAGGTCACCGTAGCCACCACATCCAGTCTGTATCCAGATCAGATGGTCACTGCAGTCACCCGGATCC